TCGAAGGAAAAGGTTACTGTGGGATCGCCCGTTGAGAAAGGTCAGATCTGAGTAGGGATAAGCCACATGGTGCCAGCACAAGGTCAAAGCCATTTGAGAAGTAAATGTGGAAACCAGAATAGTGAGTGCTTGGGTTTGATTCTGACGAACTTCAAGGCTGGTGACATCTTGTTGGGGACTTCTCTGGAAAGGCCCAATCCTTGGGACTGGAGGTGAATATTTGCTGGCATATTAGTCGGGGTTCTCCAGAGAAACAGAACCAATAGGAGACAGCAGGGGGAGGGGAGGGAGGCAAAGAGATTTATTATAAACAATTTGGTCATGCAGTTATAAAGGCTGACAAGTCCCAGGGTCTGCAGAGTGATTAGGCAAGCCGGACACCCAGAAGAAACAACGCTTACTTCTAGCCTGAGTCCAAAAACCTGAAACCTAAGAGCCAGCCTTTCGGTTTGAGTCCAAGACAGGAAGAAACACCGGTGTCCTAGTTCAAGGCTGTCAGGAAGGAAAACTCTCTCTACTCAGGGGAGGGTCAGCCTTTTTTGTTCCAGTCAGGCCTTCACCTGATAGGATGAAGCTTTACCCTCATTAGGGAAGGCAATCTGCTTACTCAGTCTACAGATTTAAATGTTAATCTCATCCAGAAACAACCTCACAGAAACACCCGAAATCATGTTTGACCAAATATCTAGGCACCACGGGGCCCAGTCAAGTATTAACCATGCCAGTTGGGATCACAGGTGCACCAGAAATGACCAAGAGTCATCCGGGAACTGCTGGAAGCAGACGTCCATGATCTTGGTGCACATGTAACGAGATGTTCAGCTCGCCAGGGCCTTCGGTAGAGTGCTGGAACTCAGGGAGACCTAAGGGAAATTAAGACCATGAAACAGCCCACCAGGGAATCAGCACAACCAAGAGGGTATTACTGGTGTTCCTGGACGGAGAGCTCTTCCTACATCTGGCTGTTTAGAAAGCACATCTCAGGGGCGCCTGGGTGGCTCAGTGGGTTAAAGCCTCTGTCTTTGGCTCTGGTCATGATCTCAGGGTCCTGGGATCAAGCCCACATAGGCTCTCTGCTCAGCAAGGAGCCCGCTTCCTCCTCCTCTCTCTCTCTCTGCCTACTTGTGATCTCTATCTGTCAAATAAATAAATAAAATCTTAAAAAAAAAAAAAAAAAGCCCATCTCAGGCACAGGCTGCATTTACCACTAAAACAATCTGAAAACCTAAGAAAACAAACTATGACCAGAATTCCATCAGAATCCTAGCAAGGATTGTTTCTTCATTGTTTCTCCCCATTTTTATTCATGTATATACAGGTTTTCATGGAGTGGTGGTATATGTTGAGTATGTGTTACACTTGACCAAAGGCAAATTTGCCCCCCACAGGACATTTGGCAAACGTGTGGAAACATTTTTGGTTGTCAAAACTAAGCAGGAGGGTGTGCTACTGGCCTGTTGGTGGAAGCCAAGGGTGCTGCTGATATTCTGCAAGACACAGGACAAACGCCGCCACCAACAGAGAATTATGTGACCCAAATGGCAACACTAAAGGTTGAGAAACCAAGTCCTAACAAAGGAGTTTAAAAAACCAACAGTTGAGAAACCAGCAACTGATTTTACTTGTATACAGTGTTCAATATTATTGCGTGTCTTTGATTTAATTTAGTCTATGTGTTAAGTTATTGGCACTGAATTGTGGACACTGAATGAAATTTATGAATGCATAATATTCCATTGAGTTGATGTGCAGAAATTTCCAAAACTATCCCCTTATTGTTGAACATTAACTTGAGAGGTTTTGTTACTAAACATACCACTGCAATGAACGTTTTGAAAATACCTTGGTTTGAAATATTTCTTTTGGATTAATCCCTGCTTGGAGAGATACATGTACACACACACAAAAACAATAAATCATAGCTTCAACACATGGCCTCCCTTTCTAGTATCTTTAAAGAGAGCAGAGAACTAGTATGATGCCAGACTAACATAAATCTCTTTCAAGTAAATAAATGAATGAATACATAAAGAGCCTTCCATCCTCAGAGAATTTATTCAGTGCTTTTACATACATCAATTATTCAATAAATATTTACTAAGCACCTAACACAACCAGCCATCATGCTGGATGCTATAGATAGTGTGGTGAATAATTTATTCTGTCTAGTGGAAATAAGCATGTCTTGGAAGGTACACTTTGGGCAATGCTACTCTTAACTCAAAGTGCTGGGGGAAAAGAAGCGATTTCTTTAATTATGAATTTAACATACGCTTAGTGGGGAAAAAAAAAGAAAGAGAAAAACACCAAGATGTTTATATATATCCATAGTTCCATTACCATTCAAATATAGCTATTGTCTTGTTGTGCATAAATGTGTAACAAACAACCCCCAAACATAGTGGTTCAGGCAATGTATTCATGTCTGTCAGAGTTCTGGGGCTGATGCGCTCAGTGAAGCAATTCTCACTAGAAGGGTCTCAGATGATGACATCCAGAGAGAATCTTTCTACACAACCTCCCTGCGTGCCTAGCTCAGGCTTCCTCAGACATGGTGGTTTCTGGGCACTCAGACTTCTTAGTAGTAGTTGACTTCTCTCAGAGCAAGCGTTCTAAGAGATCGAGGCAGAAGCTAAAAGTCCTCTTACGACCTAGCCACATAGCATGACTTCAGTAGCATTCTGTTGCTCACAGCAGTCCTAAGTCAGGCCACATTCAAGGAAGCACAGGAACAGGCTGCACTTCTGACTTGTGTACATAGGGCAGAAGGAATTCATGGCGGTCAGCCATGTTGGAGACAAGCGATCATAATTGCTTATCATCATCTAGAGCATGTTGATAATTATTCTATGTAACCAAAATATAAGCATTAAAGTCAGGAAGCTGACATTGATAATTATGACTATCTACACAGAACTGACTCAAGTTTTTTCAGGGATTCCAACAGAAAAATCACACACTGTGTTGAACTATCAAGGCTCTTTAGTCTCCTTTAACTTGGAACAGTTCTTCCCTTGCCACTCATGACCTTGACACCCTGGAAGATTACAGGCAAGTTAGCACATAAGACTTACATAAGCCTCTGTGTTATGGGTGGGCTGGGTGGAAACAGGAAGTCCCAGACCTCTGTTGCACTCACTTGGAATTTAGACTGTGCCATAGGTCTTTGGAAGGGTCAAAAAATGCTGGTGGCCTTATCCTTCAGAGAAAATATCAAAGTCCTTGACCAGGAGAACCATCAAGGTCCTATTGACTCACCACAGTGTCTCCTTACTTCCATTCTGGTCCTGACCCCGCCTTCTACTTGACCATGACAAAAGCCTCCAACCTTTGTTCCTGCTGATTCCTCACCAACAACTCAGTTAACTCATTTCCTTAAAAAGTCACTCAAGGGTCTTCCAGAAGGTGTGCAGTCTCAGTCTTCATTGATCATTCTTCAACCTTTTTCTTGATGCTTTACCTCTACTGTTACGCATGCCAATATCCAGCAGCACAGATTTTCATGGGGGGGATACCATGTGTCAAGCCCTCTGTTAAGTGCCCCCCCCCCCCGTTCCAGCTCATTTGCTCTTCAAAACAACCCTATAAGTTTGACACTTTCCTCGTTCTACAGACAATGGAATGGGAGCTCAGAGAAGTAGAAGATGTAGGCCTCTGTTTCACAGCTAGAAAGTGGGAGGCTGGATTAAATTGAAAGAGGACCCAGGGTCTCTGGCCCTGATGTCGTTGGCATGTACATGGGACAACAAGACAGTACATGTGCAACAATTAGCAAAAGATGTAAGATGTGTTCAATTGCTTTATTTTCCTAATTTTATTATGGCTTGTTTTTTTCCCCCTCTCCCAACTATAACTACAAGCAGAGCAAAAACTACATTTCCCATTAACTTTATGTTTTAGAACACTCAGTGCTCTGCGGGGCATAAAAAGAGCCCCCAGTAAACTGGTGTGAAGGGACAGTGAGCAGAGAGACTGAATACTTTACGGACTAAATAGAAGGTATGAAATGTTAAGACAAGTTCAGGTTTCACTAAATGCCAGCCAGAGTGAGAATCTGAAACTCAGAAAGGAGGTAACCCACTCAAGATCACACAGTTGATTAGGAGCAGACTATGCAGAAACCAGTCCCCCAAACTCCTTGCCCAGCATACCTTCCCCAGAGTCCACTGCCTGCTTAGGTCAGTCTATCTCCCATGGTGTCCACACCATAGTTTCCTAGCCCATGGGACTCCCTCACCCCAAAATATATTGCTTTTCTCTTTCTAGCTCTTACTTACACTTAGCTCAAGAGTCATTTCTTAGAAGCCTGGCCAGAACCCTCTAGTCTGGTTGAGATGCTCCTCTTGTCTATTTTTCTTTCTTCTACCAGAGCATCCTTGAGGGATCACCCTTACTTGCCTGCCTTTCCATTAGATTAGAAGCTTTTTGAAGGCAGGAACCATGTCTCCTTTGACTTGGTGATATTACTGCCTAACACAGCACCTGGCACAGGGCCTTTTAATGTGGGTGGCTTAAAAAACAAATGATGGCAGTTCTGGTAACCCAGAGTGTGCTATAAAGGTCAGGGTCAACAATGGCTTCTTGGGACAAGAGGCAATTGACATGAAATGGTGAGTCCAGTTAACAAACTGGTGGCAGGTGAAATAACACAATATGTTCCTTTGTTTTACAAATATTTGCGGGCCCCCACGTGCTCTGTTTGCTTCTGGAGAGACAACAGGGAGTGTGACAGACCTGGTCTTTGCCCTCATATGGAGTTTCCTGCTTAGCGGTGGATGGTGGCAGACAATCAAGAGACAAACACATGAATAAGCAAAGTTGTTTCTGAAAGTGGTTAAGGGTTTTGAAGAAAACAAAAGAGGGAAATGTGGTAAAGAATGGAATGGCTGGGATGAGGGAGTCCCCCTTCAGAGAAAGTGATCCAGGAAGGCCTATCTGAGGAGGTGACAATCAGCTGAGATCACAAGATGAGAAGGAGCCAGCTTTATAGACGTGTTCTCAGGAGAAGGAGTAGCCAGTGCAAAGCTCCTGAGGTGGAGAGACTTGGAGCTGTTCAAAGCACAGCAAGAGGACTAGATGGGGCTGGAGCACAGGATGAACAGGAAAGTGATAGAGACGAGGCTGGAGAAGCGGAGTCCAGATCACAGAGGACCCAGAGTTCCAGGTAAGGAGCCCAGAGGGACTCTAAGGGACTCTAAGCCCAGAAGGACTCCACTGTCCACATAGGGTCCCAGAGCTAAAATCCAGGAAAGAGTGAGTTAAATGTTGGGAAGGGATGTAGACGTGTTATTTAGGCAACGCAGTTCACTACTCTTGAGAAGGCTGAGCCATAAAATGCTGTGATAAAGGGGATGCCTGTACAACTTAATGGATAGAATTACAGGTGAAAGCTTTCTTTCTCTCTCCCCTTTGTGCCAAGCCCAAACCTGCTGGTTCTGGTGTTTCCTCCTTCCTCCTCTTCTTCTTATTCTCCTTCTTCTTCTCCTTCTCCTTCTCCTTCTCCTTCTCCTTCTCCTTCTCCTTCTCCTTCTTCTTCTTCTTCTTCTTCTTCTTCTTCTTCTTCTTCTTCTTCTTCTTCTTCTTTTTTCGTTTTTTGCAACAGGACTTGGGCACTTGACTGGTTTTCATCTCCTTTCCCATAGGCCTCCTACTTCACTCCTTGGGCTTCCTTATCATCAGCTCCACCCAATGGCCCCATTCTCCAGAAACAAACCCATGAAGCCTAAGGATTTTGCAGAACATGGGATTACAAACACAGCAAATATAGGGAAGTTAAACATCCTACAAATTTCTTTTTTTTTTTTTTTTAAGATTTTATTTATTTATTTGACAGAGATCACAAGTAGCCAGAGAGGCAGGCAGAGAGAGAGGAGGAAGCAGGCTCCCCGCTGAGCAGAGAGCCCAATGTGGGGCTTGATCCCAGGACCCTGGGATCACGACCTGAGCTGAAGGCAGAGGCTTTAACCCACTGAGCCACCCAGGCACCCCTCAAGACTCTTCTTAATTTCCCTTCTGGTCTTTCTACTGGATGGCAAATATCGCCCCACACATTTGAAGGAATGTTGTTGGGTTGTTGTTTTGTTTTGTTTTTTCCCATCTCCGAGCTCACGGATGCTGTGCTCATCATGTCCCAGTTACTTGCAAGAGTTATGAAGTAACTTTTAAGAAAGAAATAGGCCCTAGAGCTACCAGGTGAGTGAAACTAGGTCATGGCACAAAGATAGAGAAGTGTTGCTGGCCAGAAGGCGGCCTGCACTGATACGTTGACTTCTACTTCCAGCCATGAGCCTGGGCAGGGACCCTTGTGCCGAAAGCAGCCACGGCTGCTCATGTCTCATATCTTTCTGTTCCTGAGCCACCTTACAAGGTGGAATCCCATGTCAGCATTCAAAACCTGGCTTGCTAGCTCTGTGATGCTGCTACGTCACATAGTTTTTTTGTTTTGAGTTGCAGTTTTCTCGTCTGTTAACTAGAAGGTGATGATACTTACCTAGGGTTTCCTCCAGTTCGGTTAGAGACTTTGATAACTGAGCATCCAGGTACTTGAAGTTTCTTTCCATGAAACAAAATGGTGGTATCACATTTTGCAACTTTGCAACAGGCTTTGCCACCTTGTAACCATCCAGCAAACTTGCTGCTTGGATAAGCCATTGGACAGAGCCTACCTCATAGGGTTGTGAGGAGGATTAATGCTGTAAACATGTGGACGGTGCTGAGAATAGGGTCTGGTCCACAGGAAATGCATCTGGTTTTCTTCTTCCTGTCCTCAGAGCGCCAGACACACAGCATACACACTGGAATTTCTCCACATTTCTAAGAACTAAATCTCTTGAAAAGTTCAGTAGAATTCCCTTTTTTGTATGTGCTATGGTGAGTGCTGTGAAGTGTAAACCTGGCACAGACCGGTACCCCTGGGGCTAATAATACATTATATGTTAATTAAAAAATTTAAAAATTTAAAAAAAGAAAAGAAAAAGAATTCCCTTTTTTTATGTGCTATGGTGAGTGCTGTGAAGTGTAAACCTGGCACAGACCCGTACCCCTGGGGCTAATAATACATTATATGTTAATTTAAAAATTTTAAATTTTAAAAAAAGAAAAGAAAAAGAATTCCCTTTCTTAGAATTACCCTTTGCATTTGTTTCTGTTTTCTCCGAAAAAAAACTAACATGAAACAAAATTTCCAAAAAAAATCTCTGTAAATTTAATTTGAACAAGATTTTAAGAACAGATTTGTGTTAGGCCATTGGGTGTATCTTTGGTGTTCTCTCACATTTCACCATCCTGTGCCCCCTTGTCACTCCCCAAGCTGTGGCATGTGTCCTTATCATGGGGCAACATTTCCTGGCAAGGCCTGCTTTCCTTACCCTATTGCTAGGCAGAGGAGAACGTCCGCGGTGGATGTTGCCTGTGAGAGGGAGACAGGACAGAGAGAGAGAAGAGGTTGGTGCCAGGAGGGGTCAGCCTCTGAAGAGGCTCCTCATACCTGGGCAACTTGGTGGAACCACCTTAGAAAAGCACAGTCTGAGGACCTTAATGCAAATTTTAGATCGTGGTGTCCAACCATGGAGAAGACCTGGCTTTGTGCTGTTTGGGTACATTGTTTTGTATCCAGTCTGTCAACAGCACTCCTCAGAGAAAGGGTCAAGTCCCCAGATGACAGCTCCTTTGACTTGCAACAGAGATCTGGAGGAGAAAGGGGTGCTGGAAATTGGTCATTAGCGGCGGGAAAGAAAAGAATGGGATGGAGGGCTACCTCCACTGTCCCTGGAACAGCAGAGGGGTTTGGGTTGTGATTCGGGAAGCAGGTGCCAGGAATAAAAAGTTGCTCATGACTCTGAGGACTTTAGGATATGGCAAGCAACACGTGACCTGTCCTGAAAGCTTCGGGTCAGGTGTTTTGTGGCAAATTCTGGTGAGAGGCATCAGTCTATTGTCCGATCTAGAGAAGAAGCAAAAAGAAAAGTTTTTAAAACCACTCCTTCTGATTGGCATGCTCCTGCTCCCAAGCCATGGTCCAGTCAGTTTCCTGAGCTCAGAGTCACAGCAAACCAGTTGCTCTAGAGAGGCCGCAGGTGTAACCAGGGCCTTAGAGAAGGAAAAGCAGGTTCAAGACACGGATCACTCTGCTCTAGCTGCATCCAATGACAGCTTGTTGTGTGGAGATGAAGGCTGGTTCGTCTCCACTGAACTTGGGACAATCCTGCAGAGCCATTCTAGTTCCAGACTTCCACACAGCATTAAGATTTGATCAAGGAGGGGCACCTGGGTGGCTCAGTGGGTTAAGGCCTTTGCCTTTGGCTCAGGTCATGATCCCAGGGTCCTTGGGATCAAGCCCCGAGTCGGGCTCTCTGCTCATCAGGGAGCGTGCTTCCTCCTCTCTCTCTGCCTGCCTCTCTGCCTACTTGTTATCTCTGTCAAATAAATAAATAAAATCTTAAAAAAAAAAAAAGATTTGATCAAGGAGTTTCTGACTCTGTACAGACTGTACTCAAATTACTATGCTTTTCTGCTGCCTTGGAGCTATGCAGAAAACAGCAGGGAGTGAAAGAAAACAGAAACATTGCAGTGTCTTCCCAGTGAACACTTGGGCTGAGAGCTTTTGCCAGAAATTGCTTTTCTAGCACAAAGAGGCATGGTAGCTTGGAGCAGCAGCCATATCTAAGGGGTCAGAGACAAGGTAGACAGCTATTATGTCAGTTTCCTATTGGGTTTTCCTAGTAAGTCAACAGAAGTGGCTGACTGATGGAGACACACACAGCAAGATTGAGAGAAGATGTTTTAGGGACTGTTGACCTGGATGAATGAAGGTGGGATATTAAGGCCCGAGATAATCAGCAACATCCTACATGATTATTTGGAGAGCAGTGGGATTGATGAAGTCAGAGGATAGATTGATATCCACATGAGCCTTAAAAGAGCTGGATTCTGTCCTGAGGACTCTGTGCTCCCTTTTGATCATTCTCCTATCCTCCTGGTCATCCATCCCTCCTCTCATCCAGCCAGCCAGTCATCAAAGATTCCCTCGTGACCTCCTGTATCCTGGGCCCTCTGTTAGGTTCTGGGATGGGAAGTACCGGCTCCAGGAGCCTCCCGTCTCTTGGCATTGACAGATCTTTCCAATACAATGACATCATTGCTCGAATCTGTCAGCTTCGGGGAAATCAGGCTCCAGGAACAAATGACGCCCCAAACTGCAGTGGCTTACAACAGTCAAATTTTATTTCTCCCTCACATTACTTGATCTTTTCATTATGGGACAAAGCTAGTGGGAGCAGCCTCGATCTAGAATATGCTGAGTGGAAATATACAGTAGTTCTTCATTGGCACACGGCGCGTGTCATTTGCACTCACATTTCATTGGCCAGAGCGAGTCACATGGCCTGGAATGTCATCAGCGAGGCAACCTTGGGCCGTTAACAGTTAGCAGTTGGCAGTTAACAGTTGGGAGGGGAAAATTTACACTCCTCCATACCACCCTCGCAGAGATAGGCACTAGGCATAGACAGCCAGCAGAAGGGCACCATTGTTTTAGAGATCCTGTCTTAGTTCTCTTTATTAATTGATATATTTTAATTAAGCCCACAGGTTTTTTTTTTCTTTGTCTGTCCAGCCTTTAGAGACAATCTTTGCCAGAACTAACAGTGAGAAGAAGGCATTAGAATTAGTGTTACTGTTTCTATAAAATTGGAGACCTGTGTAAACGTTCAAGCAAAAGGGAAATCTGCTTTCATGAACCCTATGTGATACAGAAATGTTGCTATAAACTGGGGGTATGTTTCCGGACAAGCCATTGGGCTTGAACCTGGGTTTGAGTCCTGCCTTGCCTCATTCTAGCTGTGTGATTTTGAGGAGCTCATTCGGGCTCTCCTGAGTTTGAGTTTTATCTGTAAGACAAGGGTGATTGTGAGAAAAGGACATTGTCAACAGTGAAACACTATTCAAATGTTGAGCCTTTGCAAAAGTGTGATGCCCACTAAGAAGCAGGCAGTTGTGCTTTTTGTTTTTGTGTTCTTGTTTTTTTGTTTTTGGGGGGTTTTCCCCATTGCTGTGGGAAGCTAGCACACAGAATCAGAAAGTTTACTACAGCAGCTGAGATGTGCGGAAGCTGGTAATTATCTGCAAGACGGGCTGAGTTTTGATTGTAAGTGTGCCTAGCAAACC